TCACCAGAATTACACATTTAAACATTTTTATCCTTCATTTTTTTTCATGCATTAAAATTTCTTGAATGTAACTCGACACCCTCGCCTCATTTAATATGCACGGTTCTATAAATATGTGAATGAGCCCCGCCTCCACTCACTCACTCAGCTCAGAGATCAACTGGTTGACAATCACACATTGATCTGATTGGTTACAAGGTAGTGTGTGACATCAGAAACACCAGCGATTTCAAAGCGTGTTTTTGAGACTTTCTTTGGTTCACTGCAGAATACTCAGCAATGCTGTTGACTTATGAATGTACACATGGTTTGTCTTAAAGCATATTAAAAACACTACTTAACATATAATCAACATTATTGATTTTAAACACAGAGGTTTTCTAAGCTCAATGGTACGGTGGCCGCGCTGCAACCTGATGAAGACGAATGCAAATACAAAGAAACGTGTGCAACTATAAAAACGCGTGCAAATACAAAAAAAAACATCAGAAAATTAAGAAAAACATCTTCATCAGTTCCACAACACACGTGTGCTCCAAGTACTCACAACACAACTAAATACAGAAACGCGCTGCAAGTAACACGGCCCACAACGGAAATGTTTCCGGGGAACCAAATAAGTGACGGACCCGACTGGAACCACAGAACGTGCTTACAGCAAAAAACCTTTATTGACAAGAAGTCAAAGCCTATATTTTTTATAAATAAACTATACTATTAAAATAATATTGTATATATAAATAATATTATACTATTATATTTTTTTTATAGTTCGTCTATACTCCTTGCTTACTCAAAATTCTACTTTGTTTTATTTAATTTCTTTTGACTTTCCCCCCGCAAAACACCGAGATTCAAATTTCAATGTCATCACAATACAAATGAGAAAAGAACAATGATCTGAAAACTAAACTAAATAAATAAAAAAAGATCTAGAAGAACATGAAGGCTTACACTATACAAATAGTTTCATTTTATGTTTAAATTTTCATAAGAAAAGTTTCCTAAAAATGTTAGGTAATGTATGGCACTGACATACAGATATATAAAACGGATATGTTAACAGATTTTTATAAAGTAAAAATAAAAAATAAATAATTTATTTGCAACCGTTATGTTAATCATTATATTTCTGTCGTCAGAACAGCTATACAGCTGATGGACAAAGTGCTGCGTTGTCATAGGAACATCCAAGGTAAAAATAATTACATTACGTTGTCTGTTGTTGCTCCCTTCATCAAGTTCCAAACGGCTACATAAACGACACACTAGTGTCATGCTCACGCCAAATTCCCACTTGAAGAGCTTTGCCGTCTGCCCTTTGAAGGGAGTAGGGCATTGGGAAGCTCACGAGCAATAAGCAAGTCCCAGTTGGGTCCGTCACTTATTTGGTTCCCCGGAAACATTTCCGTTGTGGACCGTGTTATTTGCAGCGCGTTTCTGTATTTAGTGGTGTTGTGAACATTTGCAGCGCGTTTCTGTATTTGGTTGTGTTGTGAGTACTTGGAGCACACGTGTGTTGTGGAACTGATGAAGATGTTTTTCTTAATTTTCGGATGTTTTTTTTGTATTTGCTCGCGTTTTTATAGTTGCACACGTTTTTTCGTATTTGCATTCGTCTTCATCAGGTTGCAGCGCGGTGAGCTCTCTCGGCCACCGTACAATGGGGATGTAGAACTGAGAAACTATTGCTATTGGCAACACCAATGGCCGTCAAGTGAAATGCAGACAGCAACTTATTGCTCGCACTCTATTTTACATTTAAAGCCCTGTACATACTTGTAAATAAATGTACAATAAAGAAACCCCTCCTTTCTTACAAAGAATGGTTCTCTAAAGTTTAGGAGTATTAATTATGGAGAATTCCATAATTAAAACAATCATTTGTTAATTTTATATAAAATATTAAAACATTTTTAAAAAATATTCCTCCCTGAAATGAATTCTTGCAGGTTGGGATGTCTGCAATAGGGCATCTCTCTATGTGATATCTATGGTGAAAACGTCACAATAAAATCAGTCGTCAAGCTTTCATAGAGAAAAAATTCTTACCTATAGCCCCTTTAAAACATAATTACATTTCACATGCCTTAACTCAAGTGTATTGTATCAGTGTTGTAGTACTCGAGACTCGGACTCACACATATTTTAATGGTCTTGGTCTTGTCATGGACTCGTGTCCATTTGGACTCGGAATTGACTCGTACTCGAACATTTTTTTTTTAGGACTCGGACTTATTCCCGAGTCCACTCGAGTTCAATTCAAAATATTTTTCATGATTATTAATGTATGTTAATAAAATATTTCTTTAACTTGATTGACACGCCCAGTGATTGGTGATTTTCTAGTGCGCAACTGCGTGTGACAAATTGTAATAAAATTACTTTTAACACCACCTACTATGTGGCCTTTTTACCCTAAACTGATCATATTTTTTTAAACTCTAAGTAAATTCAGTAAAAAAAAAAGGATTTCTCTAAGTAAATTAGGTAATCAACCCTCACTGGTCTCGACTCGGACTCGACAGTCTCTGGTCTCGGACCCGACTCTCTATGGTCTCGGTCTTGACTCGGACTCGACTCTTGTTGGTCTCGGTCTCGACTGCGTCTCGACTCTATGGTCGCAGTCTCGTCTCGGATTTGACTCTCTATGGTCTCGGTGTCGACTCGGACTCGACTCTCTATGGTCTCGGTCTCGACTCGGACTCGACTCTCTATGGTCTCGGTGTCGACTCGGACTCGACTCTCTATGGTCTCGGTCTCGACTGGGACTCGACTCTATGGTCTCGGTCTCGACTCGGACTCGACTCTCTATGGTCTCGGTGTCGACTCGGACTCGACTCTCTTTGGTCTCGGTGTCGACTCGGACTCGACTCTCTTTGGTCTCGGTCTCGACTCGGACTCGACTCTCTATGGTCTCGGTGTCGACTCGGACTCGACTCTCTTTGGTCTCGGTGTCGACTCGGACTCGACTCTCTTTGGTCTCGGACTCGACTCTCTATGGTCTCGGTGTCGACTCGGACTCGACTCTCTATGGTCTCGGTCTCGACTGGGACTCGACTCTCTTTGGTCTCGGTGTCGACTCGGACTCGACTCTCTTTGGTCTCGGTCTCGACTGGGACTCGACTCTATGGTCTCGGTCTCGACTCGGACTCGACTCTCTATGGTCTCGGTGTCGACTCGGACTCGACTCTCTTTGGTCTCGGTGTCGACTCGGACTCGACTCTCTTTGGTCTCGGACTCGACTCTCTATGGTCTCGGTGTCGACTCGGACTCGACTCTCTATGGTCTCGGTCTCGACTCAGACTCGACTCTCTATGGTCTCGGTCTCGACTCAGACTCGACTGTCTATGGTCTCGGTCTCGACTGGGACTCGACTCTATGGTCTCGGTCTTGACTTGGACTCGACTCTATGGTCTCGGTCTCGACTCGGACTCGAGTGATGTGGTCTCGACTACAACACTGGTAAATATTAAAGTTAGTCAAAACACAACAGATCCTCAAACAATGTATATTTAGACAAACAGATTTATTTATTTGATCCCTTCCAAATCAGACCTATAACAACCCTGAATCATGTAACTTGAAACCATAGGCTAACTGTTTCAAATATAATAGCCTATTCAGTTCTTCATAATGATCCTGTTTGTCATTGGACTCAAAATCAATTTAGAGATAAGATTGACTAATTATTTATTAGGAGTACAGGACCTGTTTGAACAGGAAACTACCCTTTTTCCATTTTAAAGTATTAGCAAACAACACGATACTGTTGAGATTTCAGATGAAGTCATGAGCAATGAGGTTTGATTGTGGGTTTCAACAATCTCAAGTGTCCTCGTAAATCAATGAACGCGTGACCCGGCCGATGCAGATTCCAGATCTCTTCCTCCTCCTCCTTAATGTGACAGACATATGAAACCCAGCCCATGAGGCACGCGCCTGCGTGTCCCCGGGGACCAATTTAAAGGCGCACGCGTTCGCTGCCTGGCCTCTTCCTTCTATTCAAATGGAATCCTGCGCTTAATGCCAACGGTTGCCACGGCGACTGCGATGCCACCATCTGTCACACAGCCTATTCAAAGCAGCGCCATATCTCTTTAATGAATGGGTGTGTGTGTGTGTGTTATTAATTACACAATGATGAAAAACAGAATTACAGTTCAGACCTACAGCGCAAAACTGCTGTTTTGTAATGTTTCTCAGGGTTTCCACACTTTTTGACCAATGTTCTATGATTTTTATATTTTGCTTAGAAAAAGCATTTTTACCAGATTTTTTTTTTTTTTTTTACCTGATATTATGACCGTGGAGAGTTTGTGTTTCTGTTTCATCCTAGATGAAAATGTTGTCGCTTAAATTGTTCCAAACCTGTATGAGTTTCTATCTTCTGTTGAACACTAAAGATATTTTGAAGAATGTCGGTCACCTTTGACTTCTATGGTATGTCAATGGGGTCCCACATCTGTCTGGTTACAAACATTCTTCAAAATATTGAATTGAGTGAGACAGAATATCACTAATCTACTCCATTTAATGTATTCCTTATAGTCCCTGTGGTGAAAATCCAGCTTTTAATGTTGTTTATGTCTATGAGGTGTTTTTAATGTGGTTTAAGACAAACCATGTGTAAATTCACAAGTCAACAAATTGCATTAGTATTTTCTCCTTAAAACTGCAGTGAAAAACAACAACAACAAAAAAAAAAACCAGATAATATTGGCTGTTTCTGACGTCACAAACCTTTTAACCAAACAGATCCATGTGTGATCGTCTGAGCTGAGTGAGTGGAGGCGGGGCTAATTTGCATATTCATAGAACCGTGCCATGGATGTTACATCCAACATATTTTAAGGCATGAGGACATTTTTCAAGGAAAAAATATTTACATACGTATTTTAAAGGATAGAAGTTTAGACTATTATTGACAAAAAGAGTTGCAATGATCCCTGCATTCAACCAGGATAGAGTTTTAAGTGATGAAATTATTGACAACAGGTGGACTGTAAGCAATGCATAAATGTCAAATATGGTAGAAACAATGTTAAACATATAATTTAAGAGCTTTATTATTTATTCAGCTATAAGATCTCAGCTCTGAAATAAAGCACTTGTGTGATGGTGTAAAGAGCGCTGTCGCCCCCTGTCGGCCGGGAGCTGGAAACATCATGACCGCACAAAGGAAAGAGCTTTCTCTGGAAGTTTCTCAGTGAGGGATAAAATTACGTTTTGATTTTTTAATAACGAAGAAAAAAAAAACCCAAAACATATAGGCAATGGAGAAACAAAATCACTATTATGATGGCTCTTATAAAATAATATAATAACACCGAAAACTATTACAAAATGACAAAACATCAGAAATGACTAAAATGGCTCCATTTCGACATTTCTGGCTCTGCATTTTATATGGTTATTAGAAAAATAGATAATAAAAATTGGATATAATTTAATACTATTTGCTGGCTCTTAATAAAGAAAAAATACAAAACTTTGCCAAATATAGGCTATAAATAATTATAATGTGTATGGGGAAAATACACACAGTTATAAACTAAAATAAAACACATTACCATTAGTTTAACTAACATCAAATGTTAAATAGCCCAGCTAATAATATTATTGAATTATCTTCCAATCTTCAGTTGAATGATTAAATCAGTCCATACACTGATGCCCTTCACATTAAAGTCTCCATCTTCCAGTTTGAGCGCGTTAAGCTCAGTCTCAGTGTCCTCTTTTAATCCTGCTCCTGAATTTAATAAATCTTTTAATCGATCAGCCAGTACATTAAACGTCACTGGCCCACCTGACGTCGGCACCCAAACACTCTCCAAGACGTCATACTGCAAGCAGGACGCCCACCGTTTCAAAACACCCCAATACGCCTGTTTAAACTCCGGAGACTGTCGGGAGAGGACCGCACACAGTCCGGGAGACAGCGATCCGCACAGTTTACCGCAACACCCGTCGTGATCTTGAATCCAGGCGAGGATAAAGTGCTGAGTGACGGCGTTCGTGTCGTCATCGCTGGAGAGGAGCGCAGCTGCTATGACGTCATACAGGCTTTCCGTTTTTCCCGCGCTGTCCCGAAGGATGGAATCCAGCACTGTTCTCGCATACTCGTCATTGCCGGGACGAGTAAGCAGAGAGTTCAGGAGTTCCCGGAGGAGTTTGCCTCTCACTTCTGCCTCAACCTGTAAACCAGGATGACTAGTCCTGTCAGACGAGCGGCAGAGCAGATTAAACGCAGATTTGCATGTAATGAAGCTGCTTTGATCAAACTGGAATTCCTGTGCTGCAGTTTTGGGATTTGAGAGAAGCATTTGAACGACGGAGTTCGGGGAGTAAGGGTTTGCGAGTAGATGAACGAGCAGCATGTGTTGACACCGAGCCAGGTCCGAGAACATGACTGGAGAGTGCGCCGGGAGCGCGTCCTGCAGCCGCTGGTTGGTGTCCTGCAGACCGGCCTCCAGTGCGGACCGGACCGTGGGGTTGGACTGGAAGCGGGAGTGGAGCTGCTCGCAGTACTCGGCCCACTGAAACGCCCGCTGTAAGCTGTGCTGGTCCCATTCACGCACGCGGTCCGTCTGAGACACGGCCAGTAACTCTAGGATGTTCGTCAGTTGTCTCTGCACAGCCTCCATGAAACTCCTGCGCTGTTACCGCTGCACAAAAACAAGCAAGCATGGAATATGAACTTCAGCTAGCGCGTGCTTCGTTCTTGATTCGCTATTGGTGGAGGACGCGCATGACGTCAACTTTTTTTTCGCGGTACTGAACTTCCTAAAACTATTTCTTTCAAAATAAAAGTTGCATATATATATATATTAAAAGGCGCACGCTTATATTACATTATATTTTATATAATAATAACATACACAACTATAATTTTTTTACATAAAACGATCTATAGAAGAACTTTGATCACTTGGTTTTTTTTTACAGTCTGTGGTTCCAACGTATAAATATACTCTCATTTTACATGTATTTTTTTGTGTGAAAAGCACGTTTTGCGTATTTTGTTTTAATTGTTGTATACATTTTTATCTGTCATTTTTATCTGGTTTATACATATTTTATCTCATATCCATATATATATATAGCCTATAGTATTATAACATAAAGAAAAAACATATATGTATGCTATTTGTATTTTTCAGGCCAGTGTTTCTCTACTGTGTGGCTCGTTGTATGGTCTCTCCAGCATCAGCTGTCGCATCGCTTTAAATTAAAGACGCGTCGCGTCGCGTCTCTCAGGGAGGCGGTGAGATGAGCGCACTTTGAACTGAGACTCGCATGACATTCGGCTCTTTGAGGCTCAGTGTCATGGTAAACAGTCTGAGGACCCTGTGCTTGAGAAAAGCATGAATTCATTGGAAACGAGAGTCTACTGTTGAAGAAACGACTGCAGTGCATTCTGGAGGGTGAGTGGATATTTTTCTGGAAAGAGAAATGTTTCTGATAGATAGATGGATAGATAGATGGATAGATAGAATTAGTACAGTACAAATATTTTTATTTTTTTTTAAAATAAAATGCATTCATGTGGAAAAAGTTCCTTCAACATTCAGTACCCTAATTATACTTACAGATGTATTTTTTTTAAGAATGCATCTAGTTTAGATCTGCCTACAATAGTCTGTTTTTGTGGTTTCTCTTTAAGTGTTAAAAATAGCTCATGAAAGCACCAGCAGCTTGGAAATATTACTACCGTCATAAAATGTCAAGCATACCCACTTGAAAACAAATAGAAAATAACAGTTTTTTGCTCTTTAGACTGCAGAAGGTATTTGAGTTTCTCTCATATGGGCTGCCTCAGTTAAATGTGTTATTGTGCACTTAAAACTAACAGTTAAAGCCTGTAAATATAATTAAAGCCAGTCTGATACATCAAACATTATGTAATGGGATTGTGCAGACAACTAGACTGAATAACCTGGGAAAGGAAATACACTTTAAAATGAACTTGCAAAAGGCAAAAAAATCAGGTTGGATTTAGAAAATGTGATGAGATGACCACTGCATGAGACTGAAGAAGTCCTGTGTGTGTGTGATTTACCCTTCACAGTCCTTTAAGGGCAGAATACAATGTGTGTTGTGTGCTTGATGAACATGACACAGCGTTGAAGCTCGAATAACTGCACCAGAATCAGATAATATTATCACTTATATTTCTGCATTAGTCATGGTCAGTGTTTGGTTTACGGATTGGAAATTCACACAACCTATTAGAGACACTTATTGCCTTTATAAAACTCCACTGTTGCACCTTCAATTAAAACTCATCTGCTTGCTAAAAAATATTGACTGAAATAATCTTATGTTGTTCAATATAATTGTCCCAGCTAAAGGTTTGTCTGTCACACTGTACACTGACCTTTGGAGTCACCCATATGTGCCCAATATGTGAGTTTATATGATTGGTGGTGTATGTACAGTAATTGTTTGCCGAGCATCTGTTTCAAGCTGGTGATCATACAGTCGTGTGAGCGTCTAATGTCAGCCGATGTTTAGCAGTCTTTGAGAAAGGAGAGAGATTTTAGTGGATGCTTTTCTCTTTTATTAAGTGCCACTTTTTCACACAAAACCTCATGCCATAATGCTATATAGCTATCATTTCATAATAGCCAACAATGTACAATCACTGTATATGTTGGGAAATTATTTCATTATATCCAACAAAGTACAAACGGAGCTCACGCTGAACAAAAACTGGTTTAAAGGGTTAGTTTACCCAAAATTAAAATTCTGTCATTATTTAGGCTAATATTTACTCACCCTCATGTCGATTCAAACCTGTGAGACTTTCATTCATCTCCAGAACACAAATGAAGATCTTTTTTATTGAAATCTGAGAGCTTTCCCTCTATTGACAGCTGCAACTACCACATTGACGCTTCAGAAATTTCATAAAGAGATCATAAAACTAATCCATATGAATTGAGCGGTTTACTCCACCATCTGATCTGTATACGGCCCGTATCCGGCTGATTACAGTAAACCTCGGATTCAGAATAAGCAGAAAGACTAATATTAGCGTAGATGCCATTCTTCTTATGATTTAACGAGTACATCAGGTGTTATAGGAAGTGTTCCCGGTTCTGACCTAATTTTGAAGCCTAATAATCATTAAACTGATTTGAATAATAGAAATGCATAGTGTTCTATATGTATGTTAGGTTAAAGAGATGTGTTTTTAGTCTAGATTTAAACTGACAGAGTGTGTCAGCTTCCCCAGACAGCGTTAGGAAGATTGTTCCCGAGTTTAGGTACTAAATTAAAGATCTAAGTCGATTTATCAGCTATCCAGAATTTTGAGATCGCTACAGACGGACTATAATGCGTTAAGAGCTCGCTCAAGTACTGCGAAGCTAAACCATTTAGTGCTTTATAAGTCATCAGCGATATTTTAAAATGTATATGATGTTTAATAGGCAGCCAATGCAGGTTGACAGACCCGGGCTAATATGGTCATATTTCCTCAATAATCTAGCCTTGATGTCGTGAACACATGAACTAACTGTACCGCATTTTTCACTGAAAGCATATACACTCACCGGCCACTTTATTAGGTACACCTGTCCAACTGCTCGTTAACACTTAATTTCTAAGCAGCCAATCACATGGCGGCAACTCAGTGCTTTTAGGCATGTAGACATGGTCAAGACAATCTCCTGCAGTTCAAACCGAGCATCAGTATGGGGAAGAAAGGTGATTTGAGTGACTTTGAACGTGGCATGATTGTTGGTGCCAGAAGGGCTGGTCTGAGTATTTCAGAAACTGCTAATCTACTGGGATTTTCACGCACAACCATCTCTAGGGTTTACAGAGAATGGTCCGAAAAAGAAAAAACATCCAGTGAGCGGCAGTTCTGTGGGCGTAAATGCCTTGTTGATCCCAGAGGTCAGAGGAGAATGGCCAGACTGGTTCGAGCTGATAGAAGGGCAACAGTGACTCAAATAACCACCCGTTACAACCAAGGTGGGCAGAAGAGCATCTCTGAACGCACAGTACGTCGAACTTTGAGGCAGATGGGCTACAGCAGCAGAAGACCACACCGGGTGCCACTCCTTTCAGCTAAGAACAGGAAACTGAGGCTACAATTTGCACAAGCTCATCGAAATTGGACAATAGAAGATTGGAAAAACGTTGCCTGGTCTGATGAGTCTCGATTTCTGCAGCGACATTCGGATGGTAGGGTCAGAATTTGGCGTCTACAACATGAAAGCATGGATCCATCCTGCCTTGTATCAACGGTTCAGGCTGGTGGTGGTGGTGTCATGGTGTGGGGAATATTTTCTTGGCACTCTTTGGGCCCCTTGGTACCAATTGAGCATCGTTGCAACGCCACAGCCTACCTGAGTATTGTTGCTGACCATGTCCATCCCTTTATGACCACAATGTACCCAACTTCTGATGGCTACTTTCAGCAGGATAATGCGCCATGTCATAAAGCTGGAATCATCTCAGACTGGTTTCTTGAACATGACAATGAGTTCGCTGTACTCAAATGGCCTCCACAGTCACCAGATCTCAATCCAATAGAGCATCTTTGGGATGTGGTGGAACGGGAGATTTGCATCATGGATGTGCAGCCGACAAATCTGCGGCAACTGTGTGATGCCATCATGTCAATATGGACCAAACTCCCTGAGGAATGCTTCCAGCACCTTGTTGAATCTATGCCACGAAGAATTGAGGCAGTTCTGAAGGCAAAAGGGGGTCCAACCCGTTACTAACATGGGGTACCTAATAAAGTGGCCGGTGAGTGTATGTCGTAATTTAGATATATTTTTAAGATGGAAGAATGCGATTTTACAGATACTAGACGATACTAAATGAAAGATTGGTATCAAAGAGCACACCCAGGTTTCCAAAATTAGATAGTTTTTTTTTTTTTTTTCAGAATTATTAAGTAATTACTAGTCATCCAGTTTTTTTATATCAGCTTGTGAATTGGTAAGTTTTGTCAGAGCGCGAAGAGTAGCATAACAGTGAAAACTAATGCCATGTTTCCTAATAATACATCATAATGATAGCATGTACGGAGTGAACAGCAGCGGTCCTAGTACTGAGCCTTGTGGTACGCCATACTGAACTTGTGATCGATAAGAAATCTCTTCATCATTACCATTACAGAGTGATAACGGTCAGATAAGTATGATTTAAACCTTGTTCAATTCCACTAATGCCAACATCATTTCCGAGTCTATTTAAAGCTGCAGTCCGCAGTTTTTCCTCTTTGTCGCCATCTCTGTTCGAAATTTGCAATTACAGTCATTCGTGAGTAATCAGCTTTACATGGGTTGTACCTAGACACGGCGCAGCGCGGATGAACACAGTATTTGAGGAGAGTGTGTGTTTGTCAGTCACCGTACCGTTGTGGATACTGTCATTGAGAATCACAGATTGTAATTTTTGGAAGTATGAACAACAATTTTCATTAGAAAATGTCATCAGAAAAACATCCACTTTTGTTCTGGTTCTGACATTGCAGTAAATTGTGCTGATTAAATCTAAAATCTCTTATCATATCACGCAAAACCGTGCAAATTATAATTTGTTCTCAAATTGTAAATGTTAAAAACGTCAGCATTGCGTGACTACATGTAATGCCCTTCCGATTTTATCCTTGTTTTCACGTGGGTCCAATTGCAGTCTCTTTTTTTCTGTCGCCACTCCGAAGTCCAAACGAAGTCTTAAGTATTTTACAGAGGTTGAGTCTCCAGTTGTCACTGGTGATCGTCGTTTGAACCTTTCTGGATCCGCCATCAAATTGATAAGTTTAATGATATCAAGTGCTGTGAGAAAAGGCAATAAATCTCCACCTCCAGCATCCTCATACTAGCCGAGACTGTGTACAGATGTGTGTGTACAGATGTGACGTAATGACACAAAGACATGCTCGAATCTCCTGCAGAAATCCACCATTACCACTGGAGTTAAAAACATTATTACAAGAGTACCGCTTTTGAAAACAGAGAGTTTTGAACACTGGCTGGTCATGTACTTGCTCAAGTATGTATTTTGGATAATTTGTAACATAAAAAGCTAAAGCTACAGACTGCAGCTTTAAAAGAATGTTGTGGTCAATGGTATCAAATGCAGCACTAAGCTCCAGTAACTCTAATAGAGAGATACAACCACAATGTGGTAGTTGTGTGGCTGTTAATGAAGGGACAGAAAGCTCTCAGATTTCATCAATAAGATCTTCATTTGTGTTTCGAAGAGGAACGGAAGTATTGCGGGTTTGGAAAAACATGAGGGTGAGTAATTAATGACTGCATTTTCATTTTTGAGTGAACTATCCCTTTAAAGCTACAATACCTAAGATTTTATGCCGCTAGAGGGCGCTACATTCAAAACAACAACAACGGCTTTGCTTGATGACGCCGTGGAGGAACACGGAATGATGGGAACTGTTGTTTTCAACTCCACCGTGGATAAATCAGTCAGACGGGATTCGAAAATTAGTTGTTATGGATGAGGTAAAGTTCGATTTGACGATTTCTATAACTGTTGCGTTTAATGACATGCTTGTTTTTCATTAAACTGAAATAACCGCAAGAAAGCAAGGTTTAAAAGTAAATTAGTTATCACAGATGTTAGGGGAGAGCCGGGACGGTTGAAACACTTTTCAGATAAACGTCGTTTTCTAAGATACAGCCAACAGTTCACATTCCGAGAAGTATTCGCGGTGAATACGACCCTACGATTTTTCACATCATATGCATAAACAACAAGACATTCTAACAATAATACTAATTGTTTTGCATCGTTTACTATATAAAGAACACAGAGTTACTCACCTGTCAAGTAAAACACATGCAAGATCGGCGTCTCTTTCTAGTTCGAGTTTTTCACGAAGTTCTCTCCATTTAGGAAATCCCACACAGATGTTGAGCTGGTTTTATTTCTCTTGTCCCAAATTCTTCTTGGGTCGTTTGGTTGACCCGTTCGTTGACGTTTGCGTTTATGAGACTTGTCTTTGTTGACAGAACCAGGTGCAGTCGCTAAAGAATAATTGTGCTCCGTTCCATAACAAATGCGCGAAACAAGCTGACGTTTGTAGCTTGATAGACGCTAACGCACAACTACAACTTCCACATTTGTCCAGGACTACACGCAGTACGAGCGGAAACCGAGGTAACGCGGATATGACGCGATTTACTGGCGACTCCCAGCTCACACGCCCCGTTTCCTTGGTTAAAATCAAAATTTTCTCGCGATTTAAACATTGCTTGAAACATTTGGAATATTGTAAGTTATCATCTTAAAGGAGCAATGTGTGATTTTTAGCGACATCTAGTGGTTCGGTTGCGAGTTTGCACCAGGTTTGCACTAAGGGCTCAGCCCACTGCTCACCCCTCCCTTTTGAAGAAGCTACGGTTGCTAAAACGGGACAAACATCTCGTCGGCTGAGACAGCAGAGAATAGCCAGAGTAAGCCAAGAGTGTGTAACATTGTCACTGTTTCTGTACCACAGTCCATTATAAACCACATCATGAATACTGTTTACAAAGCCATAGTCAGGTGAGGATCAAGGGTTTTAATATATAATTTAATAAAATAATATTAATCAGCTGATTGTCTCACAAACGTAACCAGCAGCACATTTATCCCCACATACTGTAGCAAACCCATAATACAGCGAGGGAGCAGCTATATATTTTTTCTAACAGGGTAGTAATAGTTTAGCTGGCTAATATGAGCTGTTACTGTGGCTGAGCTGGGACGCGTCTGCATGAGTCCAAAGGTCGGAAGTGCGCGCGCTGTTACAATCATGTCATCTCCGCATCCCATAGATACTATTTACTACACACAATAGGCTTTTTTTTCTCTGATTTTGAAAACTCTTTGCGATCGACTTTAGTGATAAAAGACTTTAGTAAAAGTCTCTATCGACGGGTTAGTGATTCCTGTAACGTACTGTTTTACGGTCAATGACATGAATACTAATCATCAGCTGTCTCATGAACGTAACAGCACATATCATATCCCACATATCAAACCCATAACACAGCGAGGGAGAACTAAGTTACATGAAACAATCCCAACTACATATTTTACACCACTCACAAGGGAAAAGTCACTACTCACGGAGTGTAAGGCTAGCTTCCAGCTTTCCGCTACTTCTCTTTCAAGGTAGTGATGAAACGCGTTCTGATGCGCTGTTTGTTCGCGTTCGGCTACGGTAGGAATATGACGTCACAACATGGCGACCTTCATAGAAGGGGATTCCCGCGGTTATGGAGCTATTAATGTCTCATTCTAAGGTAATAAAAACATTACGGCTAATTAAGTAAGTTCTTTATACACCACTGAAAACATAGTTATGGATGTCATATTGCATTTCTGTTAATAGATACTCAACTTTGTTACACATTGCACCTTTAACTAAATATATAACACTTGTGATTTTGGGATATTTTAATGCAAAAATCTTAGGTATTCCACCTTTAACTTGAACACATCTTTCACATGCTCAACAAACATGTCAGTGGCTACAATGCTTTACAAACACATTGTAAATAGAGAACGTTGACATCCCTCTCTCTCTCTCAATTTCTCTCTATGTACACACACACACTGTATATAAATATATGAAGAGTTCAGATGCAAAAGCCTCTAAGTGCCATTTGAAATTTTCTTCTAGAATGATCATTTTTATCAAGCTTGTATATTTAAGTTCAATAATTTCACTTAAATGGCAATGATAATTACCTATTAATTGTTATTTAAGTGAACTTAAATATACAAGTTTGATAAAAATCATCATTAAAGAAGAAAATTTCAAATGGCATTTAGAGGCTTTTGCATCTGAACTCTTCATATATATATATATATATATATATATATATTTACAGTAAAAGTGTGTGTGTGTCATTGCTAAAGTGTTTAGAGGTAGCTTTATGGTCTTGGGAGGTTGTTTGTTGGTTGTTTATTGATTATGTCAAAATAACTAAGTCTAATTATTTGGGTCTCTATATATCGCTTGGCTTCCTCCTTTACTATAAGTGTGCAGGATCATTTTCTCATGCTTTTTATCATCTGCCAGATCTGATAATTTTGAGCGCTACTAATAATAAGGCCAATCTCAGATCGTATCAGCATTATCATTCAAGCCCTAATGATCACAGTGTGGGAAATATTAAAAACAGACAGCACTGATATTATTAGTGGACTGCTGTTCATGTCTCAAAAGGCTTTGTCTCTTCCTTTCTCCATATGGGACGATTTGTCCTCTTTTTAATTCCCTAGAGTGCCAGTAACACCTCGTTTTTTCCTCTCAACCTTTTCCAGCACAGGAGCTCTTTCAGAAAGAAAAGAAAAGAGGAGATTTGGGTTTATCTGATAGACGTTTGGCAGGTAAAGTGAACTCTGGCTATTTTGTGAAACAAGAAAAAAAAAATACAGATTGACTTTCAGTTCGTATTGGACTGCCAGCCATTCAGAGCTCACAACAACAATGTGACAATTGTTGGACCCAAGTTCTCATTCCCAGGTTGCTTAGAGAAAACCGTAGGAAGAGGCCCCATTCTGCATCACTGAAGATATTTATACTTCTCAAAACTCATAACTTTTCTCTTGTGCCTCTGGAATTCACATGTGATGCAATGAATTATGGGTAAGGGGAAATCCCTCGCAGTGCTAGGTGGCATCACGAATTATCGCCACATTTCTGCACTGTAAAAACACATTTTTTTTCTTTTGTCAAATCAACTTAGATCATTGTTGTTCAGATAACATAATATTTTGAGTTTCTGATGATTAAATCAATCTCCTTCATTGTTTTAACTTAATTTTTCCATTTCAATGAACTTCAAATTTTTAAAGTTAAACAACAATATTTTTGCACAGTAAACCAGACCACTGCATGTAATGCATGTAAAAGCAACAATGATATGCAGTGACAAGCTTTTCTGAGAGACAGAACCAGATTAATTTGGCAGAATTCACTAGAAAAGAATGCGCTGTCTTCATCCGTGTGGATTGGTACACATTCTTCATCAAATAGCCTCAGGTTGTTACAGGGAACTGCCTTAGACAAACATGGAAATGTCTCTGCAATAACTGCTCTAGCTTCTGTTAGTTACAGAGACACATTTGTTATCACTAAATGAAACAAAACCTCACAGGGTTCATAATCCTCAACATCACCAATTAATAACCAATCCACACTTTCATGACTTAATGCCGCTCTCTGTCGGGGGAATCCTTTTTTTTTTTTTTTACAATTATGCTCACCAAGTCTGCACTTATTAGAATAAAAATATCAGTAATTTTGTGAAATATCATACAAATTAAAATACATGTTTGGAAAATACAATCCAGTCAAACCGGATCAGAGAATACCGTCAACGTGTTCACATTATCTAAGACGTATTTTCTTCAGGAAATGTAATCCAGATTGTCTGAATGTGAAATGGCCGTTTATTCTGAGGTTTGATTGGGAAAAGCATGTTTATTTGTCGAGCTATTGGGTCAAAGACAGAGAGAGTGGCTGTTCTGTCTTTATAAAAACGAGGAACAAGCGAGGGAATATTATTATCACAGGACAAACAAGAGAGCCTGGAGCTGGACTGTGATGAGAGGATCAGTGTGGGGGAACAGAGTCAGAGGAGAGAAGGACAACATTTGTGCTCTGTGTGAATTTTGTCAGAGCCAAATGACTGAATGAATGTGATTTGGTTGTACTGATGTAGATGTCGTTGTTTCCTGAAGCATGTGCAGTCCTCTGAGCGGTAAGCAGCAGCCGGCTGGCCCGGGCCTCACAGATCTGCAGCTGTACGGTCAGTGGCTGGCCAGTAGACATGAGGCCAGTCTGCTGCCCATGAAGGAGGACCTGGCGCTCTGGCTCTCCACTATGCTGGGTAAGTCTTTTATATCTCAGTGCTTCCCATGTCTTTCAAAACAGCATCAATTGAGTCTCAAACAAAAATGATCACTGGTCTGTTCTGAGTCAATGCTGTATAAATACAAATAATGCAACTAACCATAAAATGCTATAAATAAAAACATAATTATACATTGTTGGGATAGCTAAATAGCTGTATTTCAGCCTGAAACGCATTGGTCTGGGTACATTGTGCTGTGACACACACGTCCACAAGAGGTGCTATTGTTTTTCTTCATTGCATTTCGCTCAATTATATTGTGGTGCTTGTAGTTTGTCTCACAGGAAAATGTTACAAGACCCCTAACCCCAGATGGATGGAGGAGAGCATGGCTGACGCCGCCGTCGGTGAATGAATGAATGTGTGGTGGCCATTGGGTGTGTGAAAGCGCTATACAAATGCAGTCCTTTTACCATTTGCTGAAGCAAACATGCCGCTTTAGTCCAACATACTGGCATGAGTAAACCAACCATCATGCTAAATAGAAATTGCTGTGAGCTAAATGAATGAACTTTCAAAAACAATGGCCACCAAAGCACTTTACATTTGCCTCACATTCTCCCATTCCCTCACTCATTCATACACCGGCGGCAGTGTTAGCCAGCTCGTCGGGAGCATCTGGGGTTTGGTGTTTTGCTCATGGACACCTCGACACTTGGTTAGGTGGAACCAGGGATTGAACCACCAAACTTCTGGTTTGTAGACAACCTACATGAACCACTGAGCCACTGCCGCCCTGACAATACAAAATGGACTAGAGCGCAGGGTCTCGAAACATGTTTTTTAAGTTAAACTTGGTTTAACATTACACAGCGTTATGAAAACCTTGTTGTGAGCCCAGACAAGGCACAATGACGTTTTACACATGCTGTTTACATCGAAAACACATCATGCTGCGCCAGTGCCTATACACATTTCTGATAATGCTATAGCCCTGACAGGCCTTGCCCTAGTGCTGCCACTGGTTGTGACTTGTGTTTTGCCGTATCAATGCCGCAAGTACAATGCCGTATCAGGTGAGCAAGTTTGCCACGTCTAAATCCGCCACACAAAATGGAGCTGCTGTCACATATTTCCAGTGAACCTGGGCACTACTAAGATATGTGTGTGCATTAATGCTCCTTCATTCTGCTGGTGTACAGTATTCTGCAAGATGGAGAGGAAAGGTTTAAATTCATGTCTCAGTATTTGCTTAGGTTGCTCAGAGCATGTCCAGCTACACTCTGTGGATCCTTTTTACCTTTCTTTTTATTTATTTAAGCTGCTATCAATTAGTTTATTTCAGTACAATTATGCTGTCCTTAATACAGTATGTGTAACACATAATATGTTTTGATTTTATTTAAAGGGTTAGTTCACCCAAAAATGAAAATTAAGTCATTAATTACTCACCCCCATGCTGTACCAACCCCGTAAGACCTTCGTTCATCTTCGGAACACAAATAAAGATATTTTTGATTGAATCTGAGAGCACGATTTTCCATAGACTGCCTAAGGGACTGGCTCTTGACGGCCCAAAAAGTCATTAAAGAAAAGGTTTAAATATTCCATGTGCCTACAGCGGCTCAATTATAAGTTTATCAAGCGACGAGACTACTTTTTGTGCGAAAAAAACATAAATAACGGCTTTATTCCACTATTCCATTACTTCCTTATGGGCGCATGCGCGAGAACTGAGACGAGGACGTTCTCATTCGTCTACTTCTTGTTACCGGCTGCTCACCGCTTAGGAGTTTTACCGCCCCCTACCGTATAAGATGATAATAAGGAACACTGTCGTTTTTTGAGAAGATTAAAGGCTTTTAAGTGCACCTTGTAGTGCGGAAAATACGCACATTGAAAAGCGTATGTACAGCGCGCATCTTCCCCTGCTTGTAAACAGAAAGTTTTGCGCTTCCAGCTATATCAGCACATCATCTTATACGGTAGGGGGCGGTAAAACTCGTAAGCGGTGAGCAGCCGGTAACAAGTCGAAGGAGAACGTCCTCGTCTCAGTTCTCTCGCATGCGCCCATAAGGAAGTAATGGAATAGTGGAATAAAGTCGTTATTTATGTTTTTTTCGCACAAAAAGTAGTCTCGTCGCTTGATAAACGTATAATTGAGCCGCTGTAGGCACATGGAATATTTAAACCTTTTCTTTAATGACTTTATGGGCCGTCAAGAGCCAGTCCCTTAGGCAGTCTATGTAGGACTGATCCAGCTCTCAGATTCAATCAAAAATATCTTTATTTGTGTTCCGAAGATGAACGAAGGTCTTACGGGGTTGGTACAGCATGGGGGTGAGTAATTAATGACTTAATTTTCATTTTTGGGTGAACTAACCCTTTAATATAATCTATTTATGTGCATATACAAACATGCATTCGATTGCATGTGCACGTTTCCTTTTCCAACATTTCCCATCATTAATTTTGATTATGAATGCCACACTCACCATCTGAACCAGGAGACAAATTCTGAACTGAAAAGAATGGTAGTGTGTCATGGTCCTGGCGTCTGTTCTGTGTGTGTGTGTGTGTGTGTGTGGATGGAGGGGGATGTCTGTGGAATTTCTGGCAGCTCTCGGGCTGTGAACAGCCAGCTGAAACCAGGACTTTGTCTTTGGTCTGTCTGGAGCAAAAGGAAGCCAGGAGCCACAGTGGGACGCACAGGGGCTTCATATACAACCACACACCAACCACCAGATCCCTATCCAGATCTCCCACACTCTTTAGTGGCTTACTCCTGTCTCTGTGTTATTTCTTTTAGACAAATAACTCCTCAGATCTCTAAAACTGATCTGTGCTACAGGAACACAAGTTAACCTTTTGCTGATCTTGCCAGGAACCATATAGATTTGTTTATTGTTTTGCTCATTTGCATTTTCAGTAGTTGTTGTTGCACTTTTTATTTGTGGTGTTTTGAGCTAAAGTAGCACAGTTTATAATGCCATTTTTAAATCATAATCTTGACAAACAGTAGATTACTTAAATGACTTTTCCTAGAAAGAAAATATCCATTCACACTACTCTAGCCATGCTACCATTGTGACAGTTTTGCATATAGAAATGTCATTTTCTGACAGTATCAGAAATGTATCATCTCACTGTGTGTTTGCTGCTACGATCTACGTCTACTGACTAGTCAATAAAAATGTAACATGATTAATGTGCTAAAATTTAAAACTACTTACCTAGAGCTCCATTTACATGGCCTCTTTTCCCTAATCTTGACTGTGACTAAGATGCTGTATTATGCATGCCAGGCCAGTAGTTGGCGATGTCACTTTGTAAAGAAACACTACACGCCTGCACACATACACATTATTTTACAGAGCAATGTGCCAAATGCGCATGCCTAAAACGCGTAATATCGCAGCAGTGCGATTTTAATGATGTGAATATTTTCTAGAAATAAAAATTCCAGATGGAGCATATCCATTTCCCATTCATTCTTGCACCAAACAACACAACAAGATGACATTTAATAATAATAATAATTTAAAAGGGAAATGAAGCGGTGAATCAAGTTTACATGATTTACAAGATGGATTTCCAATATAATCAACAGTTATATAAGAAACATTACAAATGTAAACATTTAGAAGAAAAAAAGAAAAAACTTTGTATCTTTCGCCCGCCAGGGCGCCGCCATTGTGCAGTTGACGTCACAGGGTTGGTTGGCTCAAGTTTAACAGGCTCTGGACATTGAAAATCGCGATATCAAACTGTGTTTACACCAGTGTTTTGGCCGCGAACGACTAATGTTAGGTACAGTCATTAGACAAAAAGACGACGTCTCATGTTATATGTTGACAAACTGCACATAGAAACATTGTTCGCGATGTCTGCCGTCAGATTCCCGTCTCGTCAATAACATGTAAGTTAGCACGTATTTGTTAAAGGGGAAATGAAACGTCCATATTTTCGCACTGGTAGTGCTAGTAACGTTAGCTACAGCCTACATATACTAGGAAAAAGTGTCTCCGCTCTGACATCCTTCAGGGAAAGCATCGCCGCTTCCACACGTCTAACTCCCGGCACAGCATGGTAAACGTGCGCGCCGGTGATGCAGAATTGACCACACAACACATGCTCAAAGATCAACCTCTTGACAACAGATGGACTCTGACACGGAGGGCATCGCAGGACAACAGCCACACTGACACCTGGTAAGTTAGCGTTGCAAACCCGCTCTCCGCCCCAAACCACCACCGGCTGTTCTACATAGCAACGTAACTTACATGTTGTTGACGAGACGGGAATCTGACGGCAGACATCGCGAACAATGTTTCTATGTGCAGTTTGTCAACATATAACATGAGACGTCGTCTTTTTGTCTAATGACTGTACCTAACATTAGTCGTTCGCGGTCAAAACACTGATGTAAACACAGTTTGATGTCGCGATTTTCAGTGCCCAGAACCTGTTAAACTTGAGCCAACCAACCCCGTGACGTCAACTGCACAATGGCGGCGCCCTGGCGGCGAAAGATAAAGTTTTTTCTTTTTTTCTTCTAAATGTTTACATTTGTAATGTTTCTTATATAATTGTTGATTATATTGGAAATCCATCTTGTAAATCATGTAAACTTGATTCACCGCTTCATTTCCCCTTTAAGCTCCTTATTATGTAGCCGAATCTGTGCTGGTTTGTATTGACCGCCTCCAGTTGTCTGTTTGTTTTGCCTCCAGCTAGCGCTGTGACGTCGGAATAATTGTGACGTCGGCGCAAAAGGGGTCTATAATCACTGATTCCATCTAAACTGGATACATTATACAGATGCGTATTTAATTTCTAACAACAGTATTATTGATCTGACTGCACTCACTATTCAATGAGAACTGAAATGGATAATGACATCACTGTTTTTTGCAAAGCTGCTTCATAGGCGAATTGAACTAATTTAATAATTGATGATCTTTACATTGGAACTGAATCAACACTGAGCTGACTGCCGAACAATGACACCCCGCTTCTTCCTCTTGGTTTAAACAGCATGTACAGCATGTTCAGCCTTCAGAAGGTCCCCAGCATCAGGAACAAGTAAATGGTTTATTTTTAATGCTGTCCCGGATCGCATCATAAGATTATGTGAGCAATCAAACAATGGTCAACAAATGACAAAAAAATATTTTTGTGTGCATGACATTAAATAAACCTCAAGGAAGGTTTTGTTGCATTATTTTCTCTGTAAAGCTGCTTTGAAACAATCTGTATGGTAAAAATCACTGTATAACTTCACTTGACGACTTTGGAGATGGAACGAGTGTAAGATATGGTCTGAGACGAAATAAAGAAAGCATTTCACGAGCCCTCCGTCTCTTCTCTCCACTGGGCTCAATTACCACATTTGGAACTCATTAAAACATCTAAACCCCCTCGACCACTGACGCCCCCTCTTTATGAAAAAAAAAAACATGGAGTAGATGAGAAAATATGCTCTTTCCACAGATACCCCAACCCCCTGCTACCACCTCCTGTTTCACAGTGACATCATGTAGAAAGAATGATAGTCTGGAAGTCAGTGAAATGCAGCCGCCACATGTTGATCTCTGTAGAAATGAGTCCGTGTTTCTGTGTGTGATTCATCTGGATTACTATTGGAGAATAAATCAGCTGTTTCCTTCTGAAACACTTTGGGACTGAGATTTGTTTGTGAATCATAGCTGCAACAGATGTCTACAGTTGAGACGTTGTGACGTCAGAATTAAGATGAAATAAATGCAAATAAATGTTCTGTAAGCTTAGATTTTGATCATATATTTAATTTTTCAATAGGAATACCTATACATATACAGTACATGTCATCGTAGTCATTACAATAATAAAGTAACAATGAGTATGATATAAGTAATAAGTATGAGTATTTCCGGAATGATATAAACAATAATATGTTGTTAATAATGTTTGAAATGGTACTTTAAAAAAATGAAAGATAACCCAAGTACAATGAAGAGCAACCAATTGTGGGATATTAATCTCCTTCTTTCATATTTTGCATCAGGTGTGGAAATCACAGCCGAGAGCTTCATGGACAGGTTAGATAACGGTTTCCTGTTGTGTCAGCTGGCTGAGACTCTGCAAGACAAGTTCAGGCAAAATGAATCCGACGTGAGTTCACCAGAAAAGGTACTAATTTATTATTGTTCATACGCAAAAAGCACTTACTCTGTAAGGCCATATGACTTCTTAACACGATTATATTTAATCCTAACAGGACTATAATTGTATTGAAGCATGTTGCATTAATTGTATTATACAATCTGTATATAAAATTATATAATAAAATCATTAAATAACACAATTTCATTTAATCTTAAACACATTTCATCATATAGGCCACAGTTAAAGTATAGCTTCAGCTGCAAGGTTTCTGATTCATGGTTTCCGAATCTGGGTCTGTGTTTTAACTGGTGAGAATGGCTCACTTAGCATTTGACGAAAGGCTGTGAGGAAAACGTGTGCGGGAAGCCCTTATATGGAGATGATCTGGGCGTGTTTTATGCAAATGACTAACCTCGTGCACGCGGCCGATCATTTAGAATACTCCAAATTCAATAACATCAGGACAATGTGAAGAACACATTCATGTGCGTAAGAACGTGTTGTGAATTATGTGGAGATTTTTCACGAGAAGGTCTACAAATATGAAATAATCCTCACAATTATTAGTGAATGAGGTCCATTGTTTTTAGGAACAAGACGCTGCGTCATCGCATTGACGCTATGGGAACTTCTTCAGTGTCATATTGACCTATTAAGATACATCTACTGTACCTGTTACATATATATTTTTTTTTGCCATTTGATTCAAAGTTTTCACATGTAAATCAACAACAATTACAATTTTAACAATATTTAAAGTGTAATCTTTTTTGACCTTTGATCATACGTATTTCAAAGTTAATGATTAGTTTATAATTTAATATACCTACTTTATTTTTGACAAAACATCCCAGATAGCAAACTGACATTGAATCAACGTGGAAATATGACATCGAACCAACGTTGATCTGACATTGTTTTGCTCATCGAATTAACGTTGAACCAACGTCAGACGCGTCATTCTTTCAAAACTAACGGAAAATCAACGTGAAATCAACGCGTTGTTTCAACGTTATGAAAGCAAACCAATTTTCGATTTTCATTTAGCTTTGAAGAATGCCGCGTCTGACGTTGGTTCAACGTTAATTCGATGAGCAAAATCATCGTTGTTTCAATGTCATGAGAGACGTTGTTTCCACATTGATTCAATGTCAGTTTGCTATCTGGGATCCCATACTATATATTTGACATATGAGCAGAAATTGGTGAACAATTTGGCTTATTTGATGTGACAGTCACAGTAGTCTTTTTTACAGTAAGAATTTTACAATCTATACAAAACTAATCAACGAAATCTTGTCTAAACATTCATATTTCGTCTGTAACATATCGTTTTTATGATATAATAGCATATAAATGTTCATTTGCAGTTTAAAGCCATCATTTCAAAATGGTCATTTCAATGGTGAGCGGGCGACTTCCGGCGACACGCGCGACAGCGACCGGTGGGGCGTGTCCAGAGACGCGACAAATTTGAGAAATGTTTAACTTTATGCAAATGAAGAGCGATTTTCGCGAGCGACAACCAATAGGAGTGAAGTCAGTGGACCGCGTCGCTCTTCAGTGCGGAGTCTGACCGAGGCAAGTTGAACGAGAAGCTCATTTTAGCTGTCCTATAATTTATGATATATCTCTGTATACATACAGTGGTGTTCATCGTACTGTCAATGGAACTGGTATTTGCCCGTTTTCTGCAGTTAAATTGCCGCGATGGCAAAGAGCACTCATTGTTTCTTGTTCATCTTTAAAATTATGCATTTTATGTACTGATTCCATTTATATTTAGACTTTTCCTTCCAAAATATTGGTTTGTAGTGGCAATAAAACGTATTTGTTGTCTAACATAGAGTAACTTCCGTGAATGTCACTCACAAACATTACTAGGCAACCAGAAGTGGGGAACGCTCTCCAGCGAATCCACAGGCGACCTGCAGCGATAAAGTGGCGTGTAGTGTGAACGGGGCTTAATATGCAAGCAGTTCTGAAATAAACAACAGCACACATCTGTGCCGTTCATTCATTAAGACACATACACGCGATTCATATTTAAACGTCTTTTTGCGGTTTACAGACACTATTGCATATCGCAATTAAAACAAAGAACTTAAGAATAAAGAACGGTAACACTTTAGAATACGGTTCCTTCGTTAATGAATAACTACACAAGAACCAATGAGTAACACACAGGGCTCCAGACTGCGACCAAATGGTCGCATTTTGCGACCAAAAATTGAGAGTGTGCGACTGAATTTTACATCCAGTCGCACATGTGCGACCAGTAAATTTGCCACACGTTAAACGCATGGTAAAGCGTGGAAGAGGCGCGTCAATGAATCTGTGACGAGAATAGCGCGCGTAAACGTTTGTGGGAAGGAGACGGAAACAAATATCACAAACTGATGTGCGTCTGAGCAATCAGCGATCTATCGACTCTTTAGTCGTTACCTAGCAGCGAATGCAAACAAAATGAAAGTGGAACGAAAATACGCCACTCAGCTGCAGCAGCGATCCGAACCATTGACAAAATAAAGCCCCGAACTTGCCAGTCGCGGGCCGATCTGGCTCACGCAACACTGTTACTAGAGCCAGTGAAGAAATCCATTGAATTCGCCTCAGAATTAATAACATTAACACCAACAGTGAGATCCAGTGAACACTCCGATTCAGCGCAGAGTTCTGTTATAAACCATATCAGATCAAACAGCGCTGACGTGGAAACCAGGAAAAACACTTATAGAAGGCTTTCAGTCCACAAATCAGCCTAACAGAACCATGAATTTAGGCAAGTTAACTCTTACCATAAATATGATAATGTGTAAGTAGCCTACTACACATCCTTTCCCAGCACTTCAATAATATCATATAGCCTATAAATGTTTTATTTTTTTGTATTTTTTATGTGATTACCATACCAACACATTTTTTGTTCATCCTTTAAAGATTGTCCTTAAACGAACAATTTTAAGATGTTGGAAAACTCTTATTTAAACACTTAAAATAATAATAATAATACCATTGTAAACAGTAGGATGTTTATTGGCTATTTTCACTCCATATACATATTTTCACTACTTTTATTAATTAATATTAAGACATTATAAATGATAAAAACTAAAGTTAATTTCATCTACACCCTAAATTAAGCTTAGTGATTTATTGTTAGCCCCAGTGCTACCAGATTTTTATTTTTTATTTTATTTTTTTTTTTTTGCTGCCCTCAACTTTGGGTCTGGAGCCCTGTGAAGTTAAAATAAAACAGCATATCATAATGTTAAGTCTATTTATTATTAAAGAATTTGTCAGTATTACAGTTATTTTGTGGGAAATTTGAATAATTGCATTGCAAGCTTATTTAAGGTGTGCCCCTAAATTTTTTGCTTGCGCTCCTAAAATTTTCAGTCAGGGGCAACAGCGCTCCTAGTAAAAAAAGTTAGTCTGGAGCCCTGACACAATATTAACAATCTAGTAACTATTATTAACTAACAAGAAACTCTGATTAACGAACGAGTAAGTAATAGCGCACAGACGAAAGTGGTAGTTCACTATTAACTAATCAATAACTACTATTTTTTAATACTTCCCAGAGACTACTGAAAAATTTTATTAACAATCTAATCTAATAACTAAAAGAAACTCTTATTAACTAATTAGTAAGTAATAGCTCACAGATGAAAGTGTTACTAGATACTTCTGTGGGAATTACTAATTATTTGGATTCGTATTATAAAGTGAAGATCATTGGAACTAGTAATGACTCAAGTGTTACTAAAGACATTTTCTAAAAGTATACTAAAGTTCACCAAAAATCTCAAACGTTTGCACAAATCATGACTAGATCATGTAGTAACACTTAGTTAGTTCCAATGACCTTCACTTTATAATACGAATCCAAATAATTAGTAATTCCCACAGAAGTATCAAGTAACACTTTCATCTGTGAGCTATTACTTACTAATTATTTGGATCCGTATTATAAAGTGAAGATCATTGGAACTAACTAAGTGTTACTACATGATCTAGTCATGATTTGTGCAAACGTTTGAGATATTTATTTTTAAAATACAGATGGGTTCATAGCAGCTTTACAAAGATAACAGGAAAATAATGCGACAAAGTTTGTTTCCAGAAGAAAATAGCATCACAGTCCAGCTTAAGTAAGTTCAGTGATGTTTCATTTTGTTGTAAAAAATGTATTCATTTAGTTAATTTATATATATATATATAGACACTCTGGAGAAAACAGTGATGTCATCGTCCAGCTCAGTTCAGTTCTCATATAATGGTGTCGATGCAGGCAGATCAATAATTACTGTTGAATATTAAATTAAATGTTAGATTCAATGTCCTCAACTACATGCATAACATACATTAGAGCATTAGCACTTTGATTTCATTATTTCTTTGTTTTCTTTACTCTAGCACTGTTGCATGTATGCCCTTAGTAGTAATATAAATGAATTCAGCATGGCTGCCGAAATGCATGTAAGCTTATTAAATACTGCCATTTATCGGGTTCAGGTGCTTGTATTGAATGCATTTTTAGTTTCTCTCTCGTACAAAGACTTTTGTCTGTATTTAGGGCCCCTTGCTTTTTCCTGCCAAACTTCGGCATTGTGGGACGATGAACTTTGGAAAATCGCTGAGCTTTTTCGTTTTAACAGAGCAGTCTAATGAAAGCTGTGACTTGTTAACTCCTCCAGATGGGAAAACCATTATGATCAGGAGATTTTTTTCGATGGTAAATTAAGAAAATATTTCTGCTTGTCTTGGCCAAAAACCACCTCTTACAGATACTCAGAATGGGTCTTTCTGTTAGTTATGATTCGCTCCAGTTCTGCTACTAGAGTCTCTGAAGGATAACAGCACAAGAACTACACAGTACAACTCATGGCCTGTAGTTTTCCCAATTGGCATATCAAAGCAATCATGATGTAAATACCTGCATTTTTTTGTATGCACTGAATGCGCCAGCAAAAGATAGGTGTTTAAATAGAGGAGAGTTTGGTAAGAAGACCACATATTTA